CTGGATCCTCTTTATACAAGTCTGCGATGCGTTCCATGCCTCACATCCATACAACAGGACCGGCTTCACGTTTGAATTGAAAATCCTAACACATACATAAATGCACATACACATATATAAACATACACATCCACATATGTACACATCCACATATTATGTCTCATCCACATACTCACAAGATTCACAAGTGGGGAGAATTGTTCCTTCTTAAAGCCGGGACGTTGTATCCCTCTCAGATTGGGTTGGCCGTGCGTGGCAGGCGGGTCAGAAGCCCGCTTACTAAATGATCCAAATTGTATCGATGGGGGCGCAAAAAACACTTACAGTTTTAAAAAAAGAAGAGTAACTGTAGGGTAATAAACAAATCGCGGTTCCTTTTATATCAAGCATATTTTAGTGGTTCTACATACAAAGTACAAAGGACTCCTGATGAAGAAATAGATACACTATTTTGTTGATTACCTCTCTTCCTTTAAAAAAAAAGGACCCACTTAAAGGGCAATAATTCAGTCATCTTCACACTGAAAACAACAGAACTGTTAACAAATAAAATTCAAACGTAGGACATTTACAAGTTGGAGAAATATCCAGTTTTAAAAATTTCAACCGAAATTGTGTAAAACTCAAAACTTTACTTTTTAAAAACATTCAACTGTAAGGGTGAGATCGGCAGTCAGATCAGGTGGCTATCTCATCGTGTTGAAAAAGCTTTGTTAAAGTTTGGAGAGAAGGTTTTATGATGTCGAGGAGGCCTGGTTCCAACTGGATAGGGCCACACCCCACATATTAAAACTGGCCCTTGCCTGGTTGCAAGAAAGGTTTGGGTAACGGCTTAAAATCTTAAAGCTTTCAAATGAATGACACTGCACTGTATTCCCTTGACTTGCACCCCTTGAGTTATATCCTTTGAGAGTTGACAGACAGAGACTACGAAAAAAACCGGCATACATACATTTGAACGGTTGATAGTCAGTGTTGAACAGGAGGTCCCAAAAAATCGACCCAGAAACATGCCACAAGTTATTCGCAATTTTCAGTGGAGAGTTAAGTGGAGAAAAATTAAAAGGCCAATACCTTAAACAACAACCACATTCCCTGGATTTGTATTGACATTATGAAGTGTGTAAAAATTTGTTCTTCAATACTTCACAGATAGTCTAGTTGAATTAAAACAACAGGACTTTTTTTTTTTAAATTTGCGGAGATTTGTATTTCACCCAGTTATGGTTGAAATTTTAAAAATTTGATTTTCTTCATATTGACAACTATGATATCCCCTGGTTGAATTTCATTTGTTCGAAGGTAAGTTGAAATTAATCCAAAAAACAACAACAACCCAACAACAACTGAGTTATCACTCTTTAAATGTGTCCTCTTTTGTTAGACACCCAGACACTCAGTATTATAATAGCTGTACGGGTAATCTCTTCAAGTTCAATAAGTTGCTGTTGAATATAGTGTTCATGCAGCACACGTGTATTGAGTAACTTTTGATTTTTCAGGGAGAGTGACTCTTGTTAATTTTAAATGAGAACCTGAACCGTTTGCTCGTTTAAGGTGCTGTCGTAAGCTGAGGGATATTACTAGATCTAGATCCGCATGCTGTACGATATTATTATGTTTCTATAGCATGCAGGATGCAAGATACCACGGTCACCCCAGCTTTTATGGCACGGGCTCAAGCTCCTCTGGGCACTGAAAGGATAGATCTAGTGTAGGTATGAGATGGGATCTCAGAATTTATTGTCCCTTTCTCCAAAATGCCTAACCAATAGGTTGGAGAGCCTTGAAAACTCCCTAAACGACTTGAATGTACTTTTACAGATTCTCGAGTTTTTCTTTTTTTTTCTTTTCATAGAAATAGGCAAACCGACATGCTAATGATAGTTGTCATTTTGTTATGGAGTAAAGAAAAATAAACCACCAAACAGAAATAACAATGGGGAAAAAATAAGTAGAAACTAACACGAGCGTCCTCCAACAACGTGCTTTGCGATTCGAGCAAATGTTTGTGTTTTCAGCACCTTGGTTAAAAATGATACCAGCTGAGTTCATTTAAAACGACAGCGGCTATTCGAAGTCCAATGTTTGTATCGGATGTGAAGTAGACAAGCACTTCGACCATGGTCTTCCTCGGTTTCTACGATCTGGCCAAAATTTTCGACACAGATTTTAAGAAATATATTATTAGTCACGTCAAAACTGAACAACAGTTGCAAAATCTGAAATACAACACAACAAAGGCAAACGGGGAAACGGCACTTGCTACTGAGCGCGAGTTTGCGCTATACAAAAGCTATGTATCTATTATTTATAATAATAATTATAATGAAGATCATTTCTATAGCGCCCACTCCCATGTAAACACAGCTCTAGGCGCTTTACATGAATGCATGTACAAACAACATTCACGCACGCTACACACACGCACAATACACACACTCATACACACACACGCAAACACACACACACATATACACATACACACACAAACACACACATACACACTCACGAACACGTAACACGCATACATGTGCACACACATGTATGCCAATCACACACACACACACACACACACATACACGCACACACACACACACACACACACACACACACACACACACACACACACACACATCTACTTGCTTATCACACGCACACGCTTACACATCGTCACGAAATTAGCATAAAATAATATACACAATGCAATTAACAAAATACATAAATGGATACATAGTCATTTACATAGCATTGTACTGAACATGAATCTACTGACATAAAAAGGATGTCATTAAATGTGTCTTTAAAGATTTCTTAAATTTAGACTCAGATGTTGTATGTCTCAAGGGTTGGGGGAGAGAGTTCCAAACTGACGGAGCAAGGTGGGCGAACGATCTTTCAGCTAATTTTTTACCCCCTTTTCTAGGAACTCTTAAAAGATACTGATCGCCTGATCTTAGTGATCTGGATTGAATATAAATCTGGATGAGATCACTAAGATATGAGGGAGCTTTCTTATTGACACATTTATGACATAATATAGCAATTTTATATGACATTCTAGCTGACACGGGAAGCCAATGCAACGTTCTTAACATGGGCGTAATGTGGTCCCTCTTCTTTTTCTTTAGTACAAGCCTAGCAGCATGATTTTGAAAACGTTGTAACTTGTGAAGAGTGGTATTTGGTAAGTTAGCTAGTAAAGCATTGCAATAATCGATGCGCGAAAACAAGAAAGATGACACGGGCGTTTTCAACGAGTGTTCATTCAAAAACATAGACATATGACCAATTCATATTAGCTCGTGCGTGCGTGCAGTGTTCACTTCTGATCGACATGTGGAGATCAGATAAACAAGAAAGCAAGTGCCGTGGTGTTATATCAGTGAGTTGAGGTAGTTACAAGGGGAAAGGGGGGGCTACACCCCCAAAATCAAAATTCGGCTCAAAATCATGGAATTTGAGTTGTAGGCATTTTTAGTTTCCTCAGCCTCTCCTTCAACTATTTCATGGCATAAGAACCCCCCAAAACCGTATTTTTTCCCATACCGGGCATGTTTGTAACCGCCATTTCCTTATAAAGTCAGTATTTTATTTTTCTTTATTGGCCGTTTTCTCAAAATGCGACTTTTCTCTATACCTTTTTGAATAACTCCACCATTTTTCATCCAATCTTCATGAAATTTTCACAGAATGAAGAAAAGAGGTAATACTAAAATTAGAATAGTTGAATTTTTTATATATGGAATAGATTTTCGTTGGTGGTGTCTGGAGTGTGGATTTTCACAGATTTTTCGCAAACTTGAATGCTACCTCAGGAAAAAATTCATTAAAAATTTTCTAATTCGATTAAGAAAAAAACAACAGATAAATTTTTAGATCTAATGTTTGTGAATACGCATGCAAAAAAACAACCAATTTCCATGAGCGATAAGTGCGGTATTCATTACGTAAGACATGTCAATTAAATCCAATATGGCGGCGTATCCATGGAAACGAAACTTTTTTCTCAAATTTGATTGCGGATTTTAAGACTCCTTACTATGCTTGTTTTATGTGTGAAATTTGGTAAAATTCGGTTCAGTAATAAGCGAGATAGCCTCCGGGTGTAGCCCCCCTCCTTAAAGTGGAATCTAGTGTTTGTTCTTCAATACAACAATCAGGAGCGGCTCGTGTGGCTAAAAAGTGGGCGTCCATAATTAATTAAGCCAATGCAAGCTGAAGATAGTCAAGGGCATAGTAAATGGGATGGTATAAATACTTTTAGGATCTTTGGGTTGGTGAGGGAGGACCTCGTGCTTTGTTTTCATTCTTTTTACTTGTCGCTTTGATTTCTAGAACTAAATCTGTTATAGAGCTAAACATCAATTTCGTTCATCTTGCATTAGAACTGAACTCTCAAGTAATAACTTTCACCATTCTTCTACAAAACCATTCAAAGACGCAACTCATTCGGCGGTGACTTAAGTATGTCACGTTCACCTCCCTCAGGTTCACGGTCACAGAGTCACTTTAAATAATGGCAAGACAATGAACCAATCACAATTCCCTTGAGCACTCTATTGGATTGCTCTGGGGCTCACATAATTTTGGCATAGAATAGTGTACAGTCTATCGTGTTTATTTTTATACTGCTATACTGTGGGCTATGTTTCAGAACAGGAGCACATTTGAGATGTGCCAACGTATTATGGGTTATCCCAAAACAGCGATTTATAGGTCAGGTTACCACTGTTGAATCTCCTATTATGTTTAGTTAAAGCGCATGGGCTTTGGCATGGCGTAGTAGATGGTTTACGGCGCTATAGACTCAGAAATGACAGTAAGAGCGCCAGCGAAGACCTTTGTTTTGAAATATGAATTTTTGTCTTTTATTTTATTATTGTAAGTGCTTTACGTAATAATACATTAAAACATTTTGGGCGGCACTGAAAACCGTGCTCTAGGGACGAACTGCGCCTGACAACAATAAAATTATCGTGTTGAATACTTCTTGAAAATTCGCTAATGTTTTTAACAACGTAAAGGTAAGCTCATTGTCAAGAGACTACATTAAACAGAAGACTTTTTGCATCCCTTTGTAGATAGAAAACAAAACAAATATTTAACTCAAGAACGGATCATCGTGAAAAATGCCCTGTTCAATCAAAAAAGTCATCGGCAAATTTGCTCAAAACAGAAACCGAAGGATGCAAATCATGACCATGTAGGTGAGTCCTTGTTCATGGTTTCAAACGTGGTACTGCCACTAAAATGATTATGATACTTTTCAATTTATTTATTTCTCTTGTTTGCTTGTTTGTTTATTTGCTTGTGTGTTTGTTATTTCAGTTGTTGTTGTTGTTTTTTTTGCTGATTTTTTTTTTGTATGCGTGTTTCACTGTCTTGTAAGTCATTACGCATCCTTTATAATCTGCGTGATGTCAACAATGTTTGGTCAAGGCAAGCCCCACCATCTTTACAACTCTCAACCCATCTGACACAACTGCACAAGTCACCAATCAACAGTACACAACAGGAGGAATAATACAATAATAAGAAGGGAAGATGAAGGAGGAGGAAGAGGAAGCAGGAGGATAAAAGAGGAAGAGAAGTAGTAGAAGAAGGAAGAGCTGTTGGAAGGGAGCGGAGTGGGGGACCTGATGAATTCACATCATCTGCGTGCACACAACTGCGAAGAACCTGGCAAATACTAAACTGACACCGTCGGGTTCTCCTTAAGTGTTTGCAGAGACGACGTTGCCCAGACGTTTATGTATAGTGTCACAGAGGATAAAATCGAAGAATAGTCGTTTTCAAGTCGGCACAAGAGGTCATGTGCTTGCTGTTATCTTTTTATACTTCTAAAAGGTGTTGAACATTCATTCGTACCGTCTCTCTCTCTCTCTCTCTCTCTCTCTCTCTCTCTCT